ACATCACCAGGACTGACAGTATCTTAAAACAAACACCGTGAAATCCGGACCACCTGGGTGTAACAAAATTGTCTGGAAGACCTAACTCTGCCTTTAACTCACTGTTAGGAGCAGATATCAGGGTTACTCTTTTCCTCCACAAGCACTTGTTTTCATAGTGATGGCTGAAATGGCAAATTTAGGCATTTCTTCAGGAATATAACACAACATAGGACCATTATCTGAAATAGTGTATTTGCTTCAAATATAGAAGTGTTAGTGAAGGAAAGTTATTCCTGCAGAGATACAGTGACATGTTCACTCAGGAGTTAACTTCTGAATAAAACCAACCTCAAAGCATGAATGGAAACCTAAATCCATGAAGCAACTTCTGTTTTAAAGAAACAACTAAAGAAATGAGTTACTCATTCTTCAGACTTCTTACTGTAGAAATTAGGCACACTCCTATGGGTTTTCCAGCAATGTTACAATTCCATGCAAAATTACTGTGAGGATAGAGGCATTTCTCATGGAAAAGACCTCTCTAGACATGTAAAGAACAGCTTTGAAGAGCAGTTTGTTCCACATGTGCTGAAGTGTGCTATGTAGCAGGAGAGCTGGGGCAGGTGGCAGGACAGGAGACACCATCTCAGCTGAGGAGGTACCTGTCCAGCTCCTGCCCAGCAACCCAGGCTGTGCAGAGAGGCACCATGACAGCCTGGGAGAGCCTTGTGTAGTATCCCAGATGAAGTGCAATTTATTTGGCAATCCTTTGGACCCTTCAGATGCAAAAAAAGAGCAAAAAAAGCACTAGAATGTGGGAAAAAGTAGGACTCTCACAGGCCCTGGGCAGGAAATGCTTTGCCAGAGGCGAGGGATTCAGGAGCAGAGCAGCAACAGCCAGAGCTGCAGCAGGAGGGGAGCGTGTGACTGGGACTAGGGTGGAACTTCCCATGTGTGGGCCAGTGAAGTTCCTTGCCCAGATATGAACCTCATTTTCCCCCTGCCCAGTAACTGTCCCTGTGTGGCACTGAGGACAGGAGAAAAAAGGACCAAGTGTTTTGTGAGTGATAGTAGCTTTATTCAACTTTCTGCTGCAATATTGCCAATTTGTGCCTAATTCATCACACCTCTCATGAGAAGATGCTCTTCTGTCACTGCTGCTCCTTGCCTCTCCAGCCAGCCTAGTCCTTTCTGCATTTACTCCTGCCCCAGACACATCCATTTGTATGTTTTTCAGGCTGCATCTCCTTTTTCTCCCTGCCATGCTTCTGTTCTTGCTAGGGTGCCTTTGTGTCATCATTCCTTTTTCCTGGCAGGTGTTTTAGCTTGTCCTAGTTTCACCTTCTGCATCCTGATGAAGCTGTTTAGAAAAAGGGAGGGTACCTGGGCAGAAATCCCCTGCAATACAGTTCCCAGCTCTGTAGCAGCATCCAGGCAGCTGAAGCAGGATTTGCCCCGAATGAACTGCACGGGCAATCTCCATCATAAATGTGTCCTTTACACTATTGTTGCACCTGTCAGCAACTGCTGAGCCCAAGCTCGAGAAAAAGCCTTGCAAATGATTTGAATGAATGAATGAAATGGGTTGTGGCTAATATTCTAAAACAATTGACAAACTGATCCCTGTGCTGAAGGAAGGCACAATTCATTTACTAGAAGCTTAGTCTCCATCTTATACTTAACCAATAATACTCTATAACAAACAAAAAAGGAGATGTAACTGTACTCTGGGACCAGGTCTCCATGACCAGATCAGCATTCAGTGTTAGAAGTGCAGCTTCATAAGTAAATATATGTGGCAAAAGTACCCTGGCAGACACGATCAGCATTCAGTGTTAGAAGTGCAGCTTCATAAGTAAATATATGTGGCAAAAGTACCCTGACAGACACCTACATTTGTTTATTGAGGAGAGAAATAATTGAATAATTTTTTGTCTCCTTACATAGTAGAATGTCTTAGCTAGAAAAATCTGTGGGCAAAAATAATTATGTCATCACACCTGGCATAAAATGCTCCATTTTAAACAATTCAATCATATAGCTTTTCTCTTTAGAAATAGGTATTTTGGCAAAAAATATAAATTTACAAAGGAAAAATTCTAAGTTTGTTTGTAAAAAGCTATACATTAGATTATGCTTTTAAAAAGTTTACTTTTCTGCTCCTGATTTTTCAACTGAAACTGTTCAAGGATATTTCTTGCATTAAAACTGCATCTTTTGGTGCTGGAACAAACGCAGCCAAATGCAGAGAGATGGAACAAATGCTGCTGTCTGTATCGGACAGAAGGTGAAGTGAAACTATGCAAAGGAGCCAGTCCAATTTTCAGAAGGCACCTGGAGTTTCTATACTTTGGAACACATTGATAGCCTACGAGCCACCAGCTGTAGAGCGGGTGATCAGCTCCCATTGATGAAAACCAAAGGAAACAGAAGTGAGGAGCAGCTCAGCGCGCCTCGCTGCCACCTGCACGGTGATTATTGCCCCCATGGGCTCACCTGCCCTTGCGAGAACACAGGAGGTTGATGCTGCTTTTATCTCCGAAGCACAGATGAATCTGGCATCAGGAAGGTGATCTCGGACGGTGGTGGCTGCCCGTTCGGGCGGTGTGAGGGAGGCAGGAGCGCTGCGCTGCGAGCAGAGGGCTGCGGCCGCAGGCGGGTCCCGCCGGCTCCTCAAACTGCGCCGCATCACCGAGCGCGAAGCACCCGGAGGGATGCTCCAGGCAGGAGCAAGCCCACTTTTCTTGGAGACAAGGGAAAAGGGCTCCTGCAGGCTACTTTTGCGCCTTGCATTCGGGGCATGTAATCCTCCGCTGTAGCCACAGAGTGGGGCCCTTGTCTTTGGGAGCCTGCGGAGGCGGGAAGGTCACCGAGCGGGCTGGGCCCACACGGTCTGCTTGGACAGCCGCAGCGGGAACAGGCCTGGCAAGAAGAATGGGAGGTACATGGACCTCGTCAATGATCTTCCCACGCAGACGTCTTTGCTAGGCTCTCACCGAATAAAAAAGTAAAAAACATTGAAGGGAGAAAGCTCGAGTACAGTGGAACAGGATTTTCCTTGGGGATTCATCCTTGCCGGAGCTCCGTGGGGTTAGACTGTGGGGGGAAGGCAAACAAGCTGCACAGAGGAGGACTCGTGCTCCCACGTTGAAAGACTTTAGTTGGAATTCTAGACAAGACTTAAGCTTACAGAGACAAACCTTTTAGGTGAGCTGGCAGAGAAGGGCTGAACACAGAAAATAATTTCAGTGGAATAAACTCTCCACGGAGCTGAAGAGTTGCTGAGTGAAAAGCATGAGGTTGTTTCAGGATGGGAATAATGTGGTAATTTGCAGAGCAGGTTAACTTGACTAACCCATTAGTAGTGCTAAGGTGATGACCAACAGTGCAAGAGAGTCTTAGATAGCGAGGCTGCTTCAGATTTCAGCAGGTACTCTAATTAAATATGCTTGAATGGACCATATTTGTTGAACTAAAGCAAAATAGTTTTTCTATGTGTTCCAGAAAGTCCTTCAGTTCTTTCTTCATCCATGTTTTATTAATTTTTTTTTAATATATATATTTCCAGGTATACTTTGCAGCTACCTGATGCCATGCAGTCTTGGTGTCATATCTTAACAAAGTTAATGTCAGCGTTTGAGCTAGAGGGCTCAGTAACAACCAAAAACGGCTCAGGAAAAAAGCTGACTGTGAAATGTGAACCCATTCCACAAAAAGGCAGTGGAAAAGCTGGAAAAGTATGTGGCTGCAGGGAGGAGGAGGAGCCGAGCAGCTTTTCAGCAACAAATTAGTGAACTAATTACCTCCTGGTAAAGGTATTGCTTACTCAGCTCCAGGGATGAGAAAACACATCAGGAGGAGGCAGGGAGCCAAAGCCTCTTGAGTTTTTGCACTGACACGAAGGGGGCTGCCTGAGGATTGTCTGATGCTTTTGCCCAAAGCAGGGTCAGATACAGGCAGGTCAACACATGGAAGCACCACAGCCTCTCTGGACAACCTATGCTAGTGTTTGACTACCCTCTCAATAATACATTTTCTTGTGGAATTTCATGTGTTTCAGCTTCTTGTCTTGTTGTGAGCACCACTGCGAAGGCCCTGTCTCCCTCTTCTTCTTCCTTCCTAGAAGATATTTATATTCATTGATGAGATGCTTCAGAGCCTTCTATAGGCTAAACAGTCCCAGTTAAACTGTCTCATGTGAGAGACGCTCCAATCCCTTAATCATTTTAGCAGCCCTGAGATGGGCTTGGTGTGATATCTCCACATCTCCCTCTCTCTCTCTTCTACTGGGGAGCCCAGAACTGGACACTGCAAAAAATATCCCTGCAACTCTAGCTGGAATAGAATAGTAGAATATTTGCAGCTGGAATGTACTTGCAGTGATCATCTAGTCCATTGTCCATGTCTGACCATTCAGGGGCTGACCAAAAGCTAAAGCATGTTGGTAAGGGCATTGTTCAAGTGCCTTTTAAACACCGACAGGCTTGGGGTATCCACTACCTCTCTAGGAAGCCTGTTCCAGTGTTCTCAGGTTAACTCAGGCTCACATTTTCAGGTGGACTTATTTTCTTCCTCTTTTATTTTTTTTCCCTTGAAGAACTGGTACTTAGCAATCCTCAAAAATGCCATTGTGCTTTTCGCCTGTGGCTTCTCCTGATGCTATTTTGCTGGAACCTACTTGTTTCTATTCAAATCTGTCCTGAAGAGAACAGATGCAACTCAGCTGAAATTGTGATGACTATACCATCCCGTATGTCACCGCAGAGTAGAAAAAATTAATAGCATCTAGTAAATTACAAAGCAAAATCAAATGTGTGCTTTCAGTTATCTTTGCTGTTTTCTGCAGTCAGAAAAATACTTTCTGTTCTGATGAAGTTTGAGAACACAGTCGATGGGGTTTCAACTGTTTGTATTTTCCTGTGATTTCATCTCTGCTTTTGATTAAATTCCTCCATTTGCAGCAAAGGAAGAAACAAATTTACAACTTTGTCAGTGAGGGAAGATAGTCAAACAGTTGCTCTGTCTTGATTTGCAGCTCATTTATTTCTACCAGTCAACATACATTGAATACATTCTGTTACAGGTTTAGGATTTCAAAGAGCTTTCAGAAGGGAAATGATGTTTCCCGATCCCTTTTAAACAGCTCCCTCTTTTTTCAAGGCCAATTGTCAAACACAGTGAAAAGTGACATGCAAGAAACTTTTGTCTAGATGAATAAAATATTCCAAGCTGTAAATATGTTCATCAAACGAATTTGGCTCACGGAATCTACAGGCTTACGTTCATTATTAGTCAGCAAGTCCTTTGGCCTCTGTAAGGAACTAATGACCACCATAAGTCATTCCCACTTACCATACCACATGTCCGCTTTTAAAAATTGAGAATACCAACTCCAGCATCATCTGTATTATTTGGCAACAGCAGCTGCATTTCTAATGATGATATTTACACCAGACTTTCCAATTTTCCAAATTCGTATTTTAAAGCCTGTGTAGTTAATGGCAGAGTCTGTCTTGTTTATGAGAGCATGGACAGCTTGGCAAGAGGTATAAATGTGTTTGGGAAGTCTTCCCTAACCCCTTGGCCTGCTGGGCAGTGGTGCCATGTGGGGGAGGGCAGCTGCTGCTGCCGAGATCATCCCATCTCCCAGAGTTACGCCTGTGTTACGTCAATAACACAAATGGCAGTGACAGTGCCATTTCTTAGGTCTCTCCAGTGACTTGGATCCAGCCATGAGAGCAAAATTTGCATGGGCTTGGGTGGCAGGACGGAGCTGTGCTCACACAGTGCAGTAAGGACAACAAGGCATTGCACCAGTCTGGGGTTGCAGTTCTATTAGGTCACACTTGGCATTTCACTAATTTGAATGTCTGGCTTGGTTTAAAGCCCAGCTGACCACAGGACCCAGTTCACAAAGCTGCTTATTACCTTACTGCAGAAATTGAGTGACATGTTACATTTTGAGCAGGGGAAATGATAACCCAGAAAATGGCATGGCAAAGAGGAGTGAGATTGTGAATCCATTTCTCTTCCCCTCTCACTGGCCTTTCCTTATGCTGGTGGGGAAGGGTGGCAGAGCTGCTGCCATTTTTCCTGCCCATCCCCTCCTACCCTCTGCAGGTACACCTTGCACTTCCTGCAGGTCAGAGCACAGGTCCCCTGGCCCTTGTGCAGATCCCTGTGTGTCCCACTCCACCCACTGTGCATTTCTGAAACCACAGGACAAAGCCTGGCCCAGGATGTCCTCACCAGTACAAGCAATTTCTGTCCCTGCTGGCCCTGCCCACCTGAGTACAAACATCATGTGCCTAAAGGACGGTTTAGGAGCTCTTCACTTGCTCCCTGTGTTTGTTGAATGCAGATCTGTTACAAGAAACCACTGGATTGTCCTGGTATCCAGTGAGAATAAGCTGCAGTATCAGTGAACAATGAGAAGGAGTTGTGTGGTATTTATGATTCAGCAGCAAAAGCTGCCCCCTGGAGGAACATGTCATTAGGCAAATGAGATAATGAGATGCAACTGCAAAAATACCTCCACACCTTCAACCATGAGAATTGTTATTGTAGTCGCTTTACTAAGTTAACCAAAGAGACTCAAAAACTGAAATACAGACTTCATACAGAACAAGACAGGAGTACAAATAAACAAAAACAACGTTCTTCAGGAATTAGTTGTGTTTTATAAACATCAATAAATACTGAAAAATATGTGAAAATTAAAAAGAAAGGAAATAATCAACAACTTTAAATTGTCCCAATATTTATAATTTAAGCAGAATTTTTTGTACTTTTGCAACAGGGATTTCATCCAGAAGTGCTTATATAATTAAAAAAGGAAAAGAAAAATAGTCAGCATATTGCTGACACAAGACCAGGGAAGGGGTCACAATTAGAGCAGAGAAATGACACATCCAGTTAGAACAGTATTACAATATGGCAGGAATACTCTTAATGAACACCGTCTATGTGTGAGAAAGAGACAGCATCACTATTACAGGCAAGAAACGATGATCAGGTATCATTATCCATTGTCCAAAATGAAAATTAGTTAAAGGGGAAAAAAACAAGGAAACTTTTAAAAACACCTCTTGATAGTAGTCTTCTAAGGCAAATGTTACATGCACTACTTCTCCAAGAAGCTAGACAAAGCTCTTCCATTCCCTGTGTGTTTCCTTTCATTTATTTTCATGAAGAAAGGTTTGAGAGAGCAGAGCGCTGGGAAGAAATACTACAAACCTCTAAATTAGTGAACGAGCTTCCAGCGTCACTATTGTATTCCGGGTAGGAGGAACTGGAAGAAATTATGTTTTTCAGCCTCTGAAGTGCAATGATGAGTAGCAAAAGGAGAAAAGCTAAGAGACTAAGGAATATAGAAACATAGACATAGACGTTGGATAAACGGCCGGGAGATGAATCCACTGAAGTTGAAAGGGATGTGGGATACAGCTCCAGGAAAGTCCCATTTTCCATGTTTCCCACAAATCCAGACGAAGGGTCGGGTTCTGACATTATTGGGTTTGTGTTTTAAAAATCACAACAGATCTTGTATTCAAAAGCAGGTTTAGTGGCATAAAAAGGGTTTATTTTAAGGGAGCATTTTTCCATCACAATGGTGAGATGACAAGTCAGCCAGTGAATGAATTTTTCCTTTACTGCTCGAGCCCAGGACAATTTAAGATTTTATTCTTCAGAACTACAAGGGGGAAAAAAAAAAATAATGTAAGTTTAATTTACTAGCAGATAATGTGCACCTGATATAATTTAGGTCTTAAGAGTTACATTTCTTAGCTCAAAGATGCAATTCTTAAAGAATTAGCTGGCAATTATCTTTATATCTCAATTTTCCAAAATGCAGGGATTAGGAGAAATCCTACTGAATCCTAATAGATTAAAAATAGATTAAAATCGTCTCTTCCCAACCATGGCTTGTTTTATTGCAGAACAGCACAATCAAAAATGTACTTTGTATGACAGAGGTATTGGAATCCACTGGAATTTATCTTGTGATGAAAAATCTAATCAAGTAATGAAACCCATTCTCAAAAATTCAGCTCCTCAACCTAGATGAGCAAAGCCACTCAACATCATGTCGATGATGAATCCATTAGCTACTTACTCCACAGTGTCTTGCCAGAGGTACCCAGAATTAGAAAATCTGCCAGACTTGCTTTCTTACTGTGTATTTCTGAAGTGTTTTGAATGGTTTCAGATGTCAAATTGTACCTCGTTGTAATTCTGCCATGGAGATCTCAATGGCAGGCGTGTTTCAGTGGAGTGATGCAGCTTCTGACACCTACAAGCAAAATCCCAAGCAATGGGCAGTCCTGCCAGCCCAGCAAGCGTGAGAGGACTATCTAAGGGCTTTGGACCAAAGATTACATTCCAGATGTTGTTTTATTGTTTATTTAGTGTGTCTGTTGTTTTATCGTGGAGCTTTTAGTGGTGTTAAACATCCCAATAGCCTGCAAGATATGCAGGAGTATAAAACTGCATCTGCAAATACCAGAAAAAAATATTCCTACTGTTGTTGTATAAAACTCATAGTGACGCAAAAGATAGACTAAACTAAAGCCATTTTGTAACCCTAATAGTATTTAGCCCCACAGGAAACTGTATTTGTTGTACCTTGTGAAATAAGTCACAACAGACTGAACAAAGAGAGAACCTTATGAGATTATACTCCTTTTGAACTGTCCTTAATTTAGTGATATAAAATTAACTAATGGAACAATATGCATTCATTTCATGTTCTGGAAATAGTTAAATGTGTTATAGCTAATTTATCCTTTTTAAAAGATAGGCTTTGATATAGAAGATGTTAATTCTTAATTACTTGTCATAATGAAAATCAGATCCATTATTAATTGAATTGCTCTATAATAACTTAAGGAATTAATTCACATGAATTCTTTAACATGGCAGAAGTTGAAAGCCTTTAAATTTTTCACAAATTTGAAATCTGCTACATTCTGCTTTTACTACTAGCACTTGACCCTGGTATGAGGAATAACTTTGGCATTTTTGGGAATTTTTTTGAAGTTAGTGGAAAATTTATGGTATTGAATGGAACTATTCAGGACCTCAGTTAAGCAGAGATGTGAGTGTTTTGCTAAATCAGATCTCTTACAGGTCTTACAGCATCACCCAGGCTATTTTTAATGAGTATTTTGCAGTATAGATCAGAGACACTGTTAACTCTGATTCCAAATGAAACCGTGGGTAGTTTTATTCAGAGCACCACAGCAACCACTTCAGCTCAGGTTCCTGCTTCTGCTGGGAGAAGAAGGTAAGTGCCATGAACTGCTTGTCTCTCTTACTCTGATCCTTCTGAAGAAATAACCCCCAGAGAATCAGATGGCAGCTTCACCTTCTTGAGAGGTAATTTTATTTTTTATTTTTTATTTTTTTAATTTCTGAAAACTAAATACAATATCATAACACTTAGCCCAAACCTAGTCCCAGAAAATGATTGGGAATTTTGCCACTGACTTCCAAGTATAATGGCAAAGCTGATAAACTGCAATAAATCTGTTGTCTTTCTGAGAGCTGTAAACTGACCCAGGAAATGAACAATGGAGGTAAAGCTTTCACATTCTGTAGTGGTCCCTGCCTTTCCCTCATCTGTTTTTGGAAAGCTGAGTTAGTTTAAGGCAAAGAATGAATTGCAAGTATTGTTTCTGAATGACTGCAGATGGAGAACTCTGTCTGACAGGAGCCAGCATTCCAATTAACCACTCCTGAAAACTCCTGGGACAGCAGAACTGGCACCTGTCTGCTGGGGGACTCAGATTTCGTGGTGTAGTGGGATCTGGATTATTTTGTCAGAGGCACCTCTGCAATGCCAGGACAGGGCTTGAGGAGGCTCCCTGAGTCCTCCAGTCCAGCCTCACTGCTGAAAGCCCCAGATCATACTCTGCCTTTCTGACTATGGATGAGTCTTCCTGCAGCTATTCCTCCATTGTTACACAGCCTTGCTGCTCTGCTGGGCAATCTGCCTAGAAGGTTCACACATTTCTGTAAAACAATTTGCTAGTCTAAGAAGGCACAGACTCTGCCTCCACATTCAGCTGGTTTTAGATGTAAAAAATAGCAAAACTTTGTTCTGCTACTGTGGTCCTCAAACATGAGGGTTGGCACAAAAGGAAATGCTCTCCTAGATACACAGTGTCATTTGTACATCCTGGCTTTTCAACCAGAGCCACTACTTTGGTATATTCTCTCAGCTGTGCATTGTTTCTTCATTCATCTCCTTGGTATAAACACCTTTCACAGGTGAAGACAACAACTCCTATTCCACCAGCACTTTGTTTTCTTGGTTCTTCCTGTATTTTTTGTGACTACAAGCTGAGAAATACCTTGGCTGTTTCAGTGTCTTCAAAATGTTTAAGCAGAGAGACAAATTGACATCAAGGAAAATCAGTGTTTGTACATTACATAAACTAACACTTTTGTCATAATCTCCTATGAACTGTTTCTTTGCAGGTAGAAGGTATCCTAGAAAGCCCTTATTGTAAACATCTCCTAACAGATGAGATCTTAATTTGCCTTTAGCATAGTTACAACTGAGAGGTCCCTTGTCTGGCCAAACTTCAATATGCTGTAACAGGGCGGGAAGAGCAGGAGGGAGATTGTGCAGCTTCCCAGCTGGTATGCCAGTTCTAAGATAAGACTTACTCATCTCATCCCTGAAGATGTGTTGCCCCCCTCCCAAGTTCTGCTATCATACTAATTGGTTCCAAAGGCTGGCAGCAAGTTTTCACTAGATTGATATATGTATGAAGGCCAGGGAGTTCCTGGTTTAATTCTTTCATCTTCCCCCGCACCACCTTTGTTTTCTACACTTATTTCCTTCCTATATTACCAATATTGCCCTTCCAGCAAACATGTAACACAAAATATTTAATGCCAAAAAAAATATGTTTACATGCTCATGCTAAAGGACTGAATGAGTTTTACGTACCAGGAATGCTTCAGCCTTGAAAGGCAAAATGCTCTAGACTGGAAAATTGTAGCAGTTTAATATCATGCAACTAAATAAGACAGTAGCTCTAGGCAGAAAAAAATATGTGAGCAACATTTTATTTCATTGAAAATGTAGGTAGGAAAGGCAAAAAAAATGACTTCTAGCTTGGGGTTTACCAAGAATATGATCCTTAATACTTCTTAGATACATGCCTTTGGCAATTGAAAGACCACAAGTAAGTAGCATGCTTCTTTTTCCCATTACAGATAGACCTTCCAGGAGCAGAGAATCCCTTTTCCACTCTGCCTGGGAAACAGGATCAATTGCCAACAGACTCGATAAAGGAGTCAGGAGAAGAAAAACTATTTCCTGCCACAAGCAAAGTTTTCCTTTTAATTTATGATCTAATTTCATTTTTTTATTATGATTTAATATTATATAAATTTATGTCTTTGAAAATCCAAGATGACAAGTACCCAGATGGTGTGGTTGCAGATTAAAATCAAGTTATATTTTGTTTGGGGGTTTGTGTGGGGCTGGAAAAAGGAAACCCTCTGAGCCATTAGGATACTTAGATTAATTCAGATGGTCTCCAATGATTCTCTAATTTACATTTCCCATGGATCTGTGGATTATAGAGTCATTTATATCAATGTAAATCAAAGACATCATGACCTGGGATCAGTCCCAGAACCCATGAGTTAAATCTGGTCTTTAAAAGTAAAAGAAAAATGAGCAAGGAGAAAGAATAAAACACTTACAAGCAGGAAGAAGGTTTGGAAATAGAAGCTGAATGTCCAATGCGGAGGATGTGGCTGGTGATCACGCCCAAATCTAAAGCAACTGCATGCTGAGAAAAGCCCCTATAAAAAAGCAAATAAAAGTGGAAGAGTTTAGTAATAACTACAATAATAATAATAAAATAAAGGAAGGACAAGTGCTGAATTTCAGACAAAAATCCCCCAAAGCAACTGGAATCCTGGCTTGTGTTTTATTCCTGTTAACAACATCCTTCTGCTGCCCAGTTACAGCACGGCATGTACAGTATCAAAACCATGATCCTGAACTCTGCTTTACAGACAGGCTTTGATAATAGCTTTCTCTTCTTCTGCCTTGTGCTCCAGGACCAAGACAGACATCTGTCCCCTGGCACCTTTTTAAGCACTAGAGCACAATATCTGCTCTCCAATTCATTTCACATTATACCCTAAGGACTCCTGCCAGGAATCAGGTCTTTTGGATTACACACTATTATTTATTCATTCTCTTTATTTCCAACTATCTGCAGTTTAAATTATCACATACCTGAAATATCCAAGCTGAATATGTTATATGCACAAGAATAGCTAGAAGAATTTTGTGTGCTACATGCATTCAATACCTAAAATGAAAACATACCCCCTGAATTGTTTTTTAATAAAGTAAATTTCTTGTGTATGAAGAAACAGTCCCAAATGATACAGATTAAAGCAGGAGAGGGGCCACTCTTAGACAGATTTTCCCCTCTGGGAAAGAAAAGGCACTTTCACAATCATTGTACACCTTAGAGCTCTGCCCCTTCAGCACATTTGGTTTGACTGCATTAGAGAAGCAGATCTCTGGGGATGGATGCTGATGCACTGTTGTGCTGCTTTCATCCCTTCAGTCACTGAATCACTTCTGGTTGAAGCCTCTCCAAGTTCAATAAAGAAAATTATCTAGTGCATCTGTTAGAAGACAGTATTGTTGAAATCCAAATGTTTTGATAACACTGACTATACTAATGTTCCACCCAAAGGGAGTCAGACAGCTTCTTGAACAACTCTTTGTGAAGGAGAGGTAGGAGGCTGTAGGTGAACCCCAAAGTCAGCTGTCCCAGAGATGGACCCAGCATATGCTCTGGATGTGAGGGCTTTCACCCTTGTCACCTTGTCCAGAACTGCTTCTGAGGCTGAGGGAGATGTGGTACAGGATGGAGGGGGGGTACAGCAGCCACTGTATGTGTTTGCTCTGGCAAATGCCTCACACAGCCAAGAGCTCTACCCTATGCCACTCAGTTTTGTCTGCTTGTAGCAGAGACCCTTTTCCTCCCCTTTATTTCTTTACTGGGGGAAAGTGGCATAGATCTCTGCAACAGGTCTGTATCTTCAACCAAGGCAAATACAAATTATTTTGCTCTATTTTTCTTGCTAGAATCTTTGTTAGTCCATCTCCCCCCAGATACACAGAGCACTTTGCCAGTCTAGCCCTTCATTCAATATGACAGTGCCACAATCTCCAGCAAGGCAAGGGAACCAGAGCCTACCAAGTCTTGGGCTGATTAAACATGAACTGAAAAACACAAGACATCCTCCAGGCTTCCTACATGCAGGCATTCATATTCAAATGGAAAACACCTCACAGTGAGGCAGGGAGGGCAGAGCTTTTAATTATCTTTGAGGAACAGAGAAATACTTGGACCAGAACATCAACAAGCTTATCTTCAGAAGACCCCTTGCCATAGACAATTGTATCCCATAGCCCTTCATCCTCCTGCACCACTCTAATGTCCCTCACTGCTATTTTTACTGTTTCAGCTGCAGCAGTAGTCTACAGAAGGATTGGCCCCAAACAGCGTATTCATTCACTGTGCCAGTAAAATATGCAAGGAGTAGGAATCTATCTGTTCCCTGTGTGTCTCAGGACCTGGAGAGGGGTAAGGAGTCTCACTGCTGTGCCTCTGAGACCTTAGGTAGAGAAATGGAGCCCTCCTGGTCTAGCCTCCAATGAGACCATCAATCTGAATCTCACCCAAAGGACACAGTCACCAAGGAAATCAGTATCCTTCCTGTGCTGGTTTGTTAAAATCTTTTTTTCCTTTTTTTTATTTTTTTTGTTTGGAAAATTTCTTGTGAAAAAATATAGGTTGCTGAAAAAACCCACCCCAAACTCAACAGCCCACTCTTTGCTGACCACAGTGATGGGTTGTATTTGATTTCTTGGTGTCCATCCCAAATTAATTCCCCTTATTGCCACTCTGAATAACTTTTGTTGCCACTCTCAGCCAAATTCAACCCAGAGATCTGAGCTCCTAAAGTTTGATGACAGTGGGTGATCAGGCAGAGAAGACATGAAGCCATTTGGTTGCACATAACAGCTTTAAATCTTGGTAATTGACATCTACAGTCAAAAACAGCCACTAAGGTGTTACTGTCAAAGTGACAGAACCCAGGTGCCCAGCTGGAAAGGAGGTCCAGGGCAAGGTTAGCCAGGGAAGAGGAGAAACCAGCAGGTGTCAGGAATCCTTAACTTCTGTGTTTTGTGTAATGGCTTCTTGATTGACTTATTGCAACATCTGATTTGGGAGTTTTGATTGAACAGAAAATTTAGTGTAGTGTGGAATGGCTGCTTAATGAGAAATGAAAATTCCATTAAAACCCATTTTCCTCAGTGGAACAAGTATATGAAAGTATTTCAACTGCTTCTGCCTTGTTGCTTTCTTTCATGGTTGAATCATCCCATTCCTGCCACCCCTTCTTTCCAAAGGCTGTGTGGAGCATCCCACCAACTGATAAGCCTCTCAGGAGATTCCATCCAGCACACATGTGTGTGTGTGTGTGTCTCTGAACAAGCAAAAGTTAATTAAGTTTTGCTACTTCACACCTGACTCTTCACACGGGCTCCCAATAACCAGCTTTTTTATTTGACACAGGCAGAGCAGCACTGGACTCCACAACTGAGGCCAAGTGGCCAGGGCAGTGGAGCGATTTTGCTCTGTGTTTGCCCTTCCTGAAGCCACCACACTTCTCATGGGGCAGTGCTTCAACTCCTGCACCTTGTTTATTCAGACCAAAACCTACTAGATAAAACACCAAATTCCAGGGCAAGCAGTTCTTGCTATCAGAGCTTGCTTTCATTTTCCATCACTCTCATGTGTGAAACTAAAAACTTGCAGTGCTTAGACCCTCAGATTCAGCTTCAGGTAGAGGGGGGAAAAAACCCCTCAAAAATATCATACATATCCCCTTCATCTTTGTCCCTTTAGGACAAAGCTTGGCTAAATCTGGAACAGAATGGATTTAAGGTCTCTACTGTCTCTCCCAGAGCTGCAGCACATCCTCCTGCCCGATGCCGATGACGTGGCTGCACGCACCAGCCTACCTGAGAGCCCTCATCTCCCACACTCCATGCAGGCACGTCCACTCCTGTCTCAGGAGAATCCTGGGCAGACTACAGCAAGGAGCTCTGCTGAGCAGTAAGTGCCCTTCAACTTTGCTAGTCAATGGCTATTGGTCCTAAACTAATGAAGCTGCGACCCAGGAAGCAGAATCCTGAACAATAAGAAAACACTTTCCTATTGCAAAATTCAGCTGATATACTGATTTCAATATATTTTATAAAATCCCCAGGTATAAATCACACATTTTTATAAATCACAAATTTTATAAATTCATATCACACCCAAAAATGTCAAGAAGATTTCATTTTAACCTTCCTGAGAACCTTGTCAAAATATAAAGCTAGAACAAAATTTTTTACACTTGGTTTAACAGAAATTCCTGTTCATGCATCATTTTCAGATTATTTTTTTTTCTCTCCCAAAAAATGCAGATTCAGTAGCAATTACATCCTGTACACTTAAATGTCAAGGGAGTTTTAGGCACATATGTGTTATCACAGTAACTCTGCTCACTGTAACTGTTCCTCTTGACTCGGGTACCTCAGCATGCTTTACCAAGAAAAGTCGGAAATCACCCTTCTCCTTTGATTCTCTGTTTCCCCCCACTGCTGGAACAGAAGATCCCTATCCCTCACACCATTCCTTATTTTAGTGACACGGGCTGCATGCATGCCCTCTCCTGACAAGAAACCATGGCATATCTGTGTGCCTAATACTCACATATGGTCCCTGTTTGCCAAACAGCCTGCAACAACTTAGGCAAAGAGACAACACGATTGCAAAGGGAGCTGCAGCATGCTGTGCTGTGCAAGCATAAGGGGGCAGGGTTGCACCTGAAATGCCAAAAAAGAGCAAGTCAGGATAATGTAGGCTATGGAAGGAGAGTTTCTGCTGGTGCTAGATAGAGTGATCTGTTCAACACCTGCCTCTCAGATGTCCTAGCTTTAGGGGACACTGTTGTGCTCCAGTGCAGAGTAATTCCAGTGGCAGAGATGGTGACAGCACAGGTAAGGGATTTTCTTAGCATCTCACCAAACAGCTGCTGGAGGCATCAAACTAAAGCAAATGTGCTGGGACATTTCAAGGAAATAAAATAAGTGATGGACAAAGTGCTTAAATGAAGCTACAAGTAAGCACAAGGTGAAGCTTGGAGGAATGCAAAGATGATGGCGTGAGGAAGAAAGATGCTGAGAGCACAGGCTGATCAAAACCCAGGAGTACATCTTGGGAAAACAGGAGACTTGGTACATCATGTACAGGGTGACTGTCAAGGACACTTGAAAGCAAAGCCTCAGACCGACGTGTCCGATGCAGGAGGAAAGGGGGAGCAGCAGAAGGACTGACAAAGAGGGGAGATGCAGATGAAGTGGCAGGCTAAGAGATGGGTTTTGCAGCAGCGCCATGGATCGACTGTGTCGTAACAGGATTTCCTCTGTGCAAGCCAGGAAAAGGAGGCAACCGCAGTCATGAAGACACAGGGGGAGGACTGCTTGCAAAAGAGTGCAGGAGGTAGATGTGAAAACATACTGACTTTTTAGTATTTAGATTCCAAGTCTCAGACCTATCAGAAACATCAGATTTTTCAGCATCTTCTGAATGTACTCTGTCGTTGAGATAATTCCTCTTCTGCTTCTGTGTAGATGGGGTGCAAGGAGGAATCCTGCATCCGTTGCTTCCTGCCTCTGATGGGGAATTTACAGAATACAACTTAAAATTTGCACTGCCCCAGTAAGACTCAATCATGAACAAAGACACTTGGCTGAGGTGAGTTATCCCAGTTCAGCCTTTTACAGCTGAAAAGGTTGAAAAAATGCCCATGGCGGTAACTTCCTAAGCCAAATATATTCACATACATACATGGTGATAGTACCAGATTAAACCTGGATGCTGAGTAGCCCAACACCCCTTCCCCAGCAGTTCCAGGTCCTGCAGGATGCATCCTGTTGACAGCAAAGCACACATACTGGATATAGCAAGTAGCAGCCTGCAGGCAGGTCGGCCTGTGTGCCAGAGCACAGGAAAGCTGTGGAAACACGACAACCAGAAACCATCCCTAAGGGGAGTGAGCCCTTCTAGCCCTAATAGCAGAGAGAAGGCGGCTGGTGATTTCAGGGTGCCTTTTGTTTCGGTCTGCTCAGGCACAGGAAAGTTAAAGAGTGGGTTCAAAATTACTGTAAAAAGTAAAATTACAAGGAAACGGACATGACACTCCAGCTGGATCCCTTACCATAATAAAACTGCCAGCACTGTATGCATGTTATATGGTCCAGGTTTTACACATTTCTCCTATTCATCTTTCTCCCATTCTGCTAAGAATTAATTTTGTTAAGAATTAATTTAATAATAGCTAGTATGCATTCCTAATTGTCTTTGCTTATATAAATGTTAATCGGCATGGCAAATTCTCAGCCCTTTACCACAATTTTCACAATTTCCCTCTATCTGCAAGGGTAGGAAGAATTTGCTTCACTTGATTTCTGTTTCAAACTTTATTACATCTACCAAGGTGATGTTGAAACAGCCTGCAGCTTTTAAGCGCTTGCAAATGGCAGATTTTTGTGCACCCATCCTCTGTTTTTTTTCCACGCTGTGCTGTCTGAGCTCAGCTCTTCTCACACTACATTGGACAGGCACGTTACAATTTATTTGCAGAGGGAGCAATCCTCTCCCCGTCATCTTTCTGCAAACAATGTGAAAGAGCACACGGGTGGCAGTCTGTGCTCATGCCCGCTGAGCCAAGAATTTGCTTGCACAGTGATGACCCAATGGTCTGCGCTATCACAGCCCCGGGCTGCAGCATCTTTCAGCAAAAGACACCAGCCCGTGCATCTCCCTTCTCTCCGCATCCCTCCTTCCAGAAGCTGTGCAGCCCCGCGCTGTCCCCACGTTCTCCCAGAGCTTTCCCCTTTTTGCTTCCACCGAAAGCAATTTCTCCGAACCCAAGGAGCGTTCGTTCAATTCAAGCACTCCGCCAACCCGCGAAGTGAGTTAGGCTCAATACAGGTTCTTTCCAAAAGACGTTTGTGAAAGATCAAGCACAGGCCACAAAACACATACCTCGCTTAAACGCTTGTGAAAATCAAATGCCCTTGGTTACAGCACAGGACGGGCAAACCGCTGAGGATGCTCCCTCGGAGCAGCTCCACGGACGAGGCACGGCGGGAGCTGTTCCAGGCCTCTCGGCAGCTTCCCAAAGCCTCCGGGGACGCGGCGGGACCCGCC